ATCAACCACTATAATCATAATAAAATTAAATGATGATTTTTTAAATATATTTATTATTTAATTAAAAATATTTGAAATATAGAAAACATTGTATTGCAATTAAAATTTTTAATATATTAATAATGATATAAATTTAATTTTATTTGAATTTATATATATAAAATATATTTAAATTTATATTTTTTATATTAAAACATATATAAATATTTTTGTTATATATCAAATATGAATTTAAAAAATATGATTTAATAAAAAATATTTTTGGCATATATCAACTATGAATTTAAGTTTATATTTGTGTTATATTAAAAATATATATAAATATAAATTTAAAAAATATATCAAATAATAAAATTGACCAGTTCGATCAACCATTTAAAATTATATATCAAATATATCAAAAATAAAAATATATAAATATGAATTTAAAATTATATATCAAATATATATATACACACACACACACACACATATATAAATACAATTGACCAATCTGATCAACCAATTCTGTCTGGTTCATTGAAAACCAGTTCTTTCAAATGAATCCAATCATTTGACCGATTCTAAAAATTAAAAGTAATAGTAGTTGATTTTATTTTTATTTTTATTTTACGTTTTAAATTTTTATTAACCTCTAAAATTATATTTTTATTTTTTATCATCCAATATAATTATAATAATATTAAATAATTATTTTTTAAAAATATTTATTATTTAATTAAAAATATTTTGAATACATAAAACATAATAATATAAATTCAAATATATTTGAATTTATATATATCAAATATATTTAAACTTATATTTTTGTTATATTAAAAAATATAAAATTTATTAACTTATTTAAATATATATATTATTGACCAGTTCATTCAACTAATTCTAATCGGTTCATTGGAATCAATCCGTTTAAAGGAATCAAACCGTTTAGTTGACCAATTATCGATTGAACAACAAGTTTGGCCGAGCTTTCAACCAATAGTAGTTGCTATTACTTCTATTTTTATTTTTATTTTTATTTATAAATTTTATTAACCTCTAGAATTCTATATTTCTAATAAAATTAAATAATTACTATTTTTTAAATATATTTATTATTTAATAAAAATTAATTTTAAATATAGAAAACATTGTATAGCAATTATTATTTTTTGTCTTAAAACTAAATATTTACTATCAAATATTGTTATATACTCACGGAATAAAAATTGCAACAAAAATTAGTAATAAAACTATTTTTTTTAATATTTGGGACTAAATTTCCAACAAAACCAATCTTATGGGACTATATTTGCAATTGTTTCAATATTTGTGACTAATGACAAACGGTGACTTAACGTTCAGTTAGATTTGGGACCAATTGCGCAACAAAAATTAGTTAAGGACTGAAATTGCGCCTCTTGGGACTAAAATTGCGAACGTCCCAATCTAACGGGACCAAATTTGCAATTAACTCATATTTTATTTCTATAATAATGAGTAAGTGGATCATTGGTCCCACTTGTATTTGTTTTTAAATGTAATGTTTAAATAGAAAAATATTTACAGAAATGACGATGTAGATATGAAGTCAGATGGAGGATATCGTGATTTTTTTTCAATTGCCCTAATTTATGATATATATATATGTCAATTGCCAAAAGCTTTTTGTGTTGCAAGTACCTTCTCCACATTCTCTTCAAAGTTGAAACCCTCTCCATCTCAAGAAACCTAAGCACCTAATAATGTCGGCCACCTCGCTTTTCTGGTCGTCATTAACGGGCCTTCAACTCATCGAGGAGGTGACCCAAAAGGCCGACGAGGTTCAAGAGCAAGTGTTGGCCCAAATCCTGGCCCAAAATGCCAGCACCGAATATCTCACAGGCTTCGGCCTCAATGGATCCACCGATCGGGAGGCATTCAAATCAAAGATACCAATGACGACCTATAAAGATCTCCAGCCGTTGATCAAAAGAATAGCCGACGGTGATCGTTCTCCCATTTTGTGTGCTCAACCCATCTCCACATTTCTCATCAGGTCACTCTCTATAAATTAAAATTCCTGCACATATTTTCCTTTTGTAAGAGGTTGCAACTTGCAAGGACACCTGAAAATTATTATCATACTAATTTTTTTTTTCTAATAATTAATTTTCTTGTATTTGAACAGCTCTGGGACTACTAGTGGTGACCCAAAGCTTATTCCATCTAACAAGGATATGTTAAATCGTGGTTCACTTACTATCGGGCTTACTGAATCTGTTCTTAACCAGTGAGTACATATTTTTATATACATCTTAAGATGCACGCACATATTTAAAATAGTCAATAAAGATGTTGCATGGCGGTTGGACCAGACTTGGCAAAATTTCATTTTTTAGTATAATATGTTTGCCCATTCTTGGAAAAACATCATCATATTGAGTGTCATAAAAAAAGTTCAGATTTGGCAAAATTTCATGTTTAGTACTAGCGGCGGATCCAGAAATTTTTATGAACCAGTGCAAAAAATAGTTGAATAATTTTTTTAACCATATTGCACAAAGTACTTATATTAAAAATTAAATAAATTTTTGAGCAATCGGGTGTTGACGAGTTTCCCATTCGGTTTGTCGTTGACTTGATGCTAAAAATGAAATTGAGAATGATGTCGGTTATTTTATTTTGCGTTTTTTTTATTATTTAGAAATATATCAAAAATATTTTATAACCCTTTTTCCCGCATTTTTTTGTATTTAGTTATAAACAAGCCATTTTTAATATAATTTATTAATTTAAGAAAGCCTAAATGTCATCATTTTGTTCCTATTATTTTATAAAGAGTTCCTTATAGATTATCTTCTTATATATAAATGTAGAGGTTTTCAATGACAACTTTCAACGCTTTGTAATTCTAAATTTTAATGTCTAAGGATTCGAAATAGTCCATATAAATATAAATCATTACCCAAAACTTTTAAATCTAAACATTTGGATAACTTAAATTGTAAATATATTTTAAAAGTTAATAATATTTATACATGTTATTTTTTTATATGATAAATAAAATTAGACATATTTTGATGATCTATAATTTGACATTCATATTATATATATAAATTAAAATAATTATACCTATCTTATATCCATCTTAAGAAGCACAAACATATTTAAAATAGTCAATAAAGATGTTGCATGGCGGTTGGGCCAAACTTCATTTTTTAGTACAATATGTTTGCCATTTTTAGAAAAACATCCATCATATTGAGTGTCATAAAAAAGTTCAGATTTGGCAAAATTTCATGTTTAGTAAAATATGTTTGCCCATTTTTCGAAAAACATCCAACATATTGGTCCATTATGTTGTGAATTTAATCAAAACTTGTACAGTGATCAATATAGTGTACTAAATATGTAGGTCATTATACGAGTTATGATTAAATTGACTACATAATGAACTATTTTTTATTATGCCACCTNTGAAATTTTGCTGACCAAATTTATTCAAACAACATTAATATGACATTTCACAAATAAGTATGTATTTTTGTGATGCTTCCCCTTCATGAATTTGTATTAAATATTTAATTTTTTGAAAAAATTACAATAAAAATCGAAATAACTAGGCATTTTGAGGGGCTGGACAAAGGCAAAGGGCTCAACTTCATGTTCACGAGAGCCGAGTCCAAAACTCAAGGCGGGGTCACCGTACAAACGGCGCTCACTTACCTCTACAAGAGCGAAGAATTCAAGAAACACAACGAAGATACTTTCACGAGCCCAACCGAAGCCGTTATCTGCTCTGACTCGTTTCAAAGCATGTACGCGCAAATGCTCTGCGGCCTCTACGCGCGCGAACAAGTTTTCTGGCTTGGGAAACTCTTCGCGTACGGCTTCGTCCGTGCAATCAAGTTTCTCGAGCACAACTGGCAACAACTGACCCACGACATACGAACCGGGTCGCTCGACCCGAAGGTGACCGACCCTGCGATCCGCGACTGCATGCCGCGGGTCGCACGACCCGACCCTGACCTGGCGGACTTCATAGCCCGCGAGTGCGCCAGGGACGACTGGGCCGGGATCATCCCCCGAATCTGGCCCAACGCGAAATATCTCAACACAATCGTCACGGGCCCAATGGCCCAATACATCCCGACCCTCGAATACTACGGCGGAGGACTTCCGATAGTGTCGATGGCGTACGCATCATCCGAATGCTTTCTCGGGATAAACCTTGACCCCACGTGTCGCCCATCCGAGGTCTCCTACACCTTCATGCCATGCATGGCCTATTTCGAGTTCTTTCCGGCCGACGACCGCTCGGAGCCTGTTGACTTGGTCAACGTCGAGGTCGGCAAGGAGTACGAGGTGGTGGTCACTACGTTTTCCGGGCTCTACCGGTACCAACTCGGCGACATCGTCCAAGCCTCCGGTTTCCACAACTCGGCCCCGAAATTCCGGTTCGTGAGACGGAAAGACGTGTTGCTAAACATCGATTGGGAGAACACTAAGGAAACGGAGCTCCAAGAGGCGGTGGAGAAAGCGGCCCGACTTCTCCTTCCGCACGGGATTAGAGTGCTCGACTACACGAGCCGCGTGGACCCCACGACTGTCCCGGCACACTACGTCGTGTATTGGGAGCTATTAAACGAGCGTGAGTCGAATGATCAACCGCGGGCCGTGTGGGAAGAGTGTTGTGTGGCGATGGAGGAATCGTTCAATTGGGTGTACCGTATGTTGAGGGATAGCTCGATTGGGCCGTTGGAGATTAGGGTTGTGAAAGATGGGACGTTTGAAGAGGTAATGGAGTGGGCCGTGTCACGAGGTGCATCGCTCGGGCAGTTCAAGGTGCCCCGGTGTGTTAGCCAGCGAGAAATGGTCGAACTTCTCGACTCGCGGGTTGTGGCCTCGTATTTTCGCCCGCCATTGTCAGATCAACCTACAGAACCGCGGTACTAGTTGATAGAATATGCATGTTGTTTTAAATTACTTGTTGCGACGCGTTGAGGTATAAAGTGTGAGTGGACACATTTTGGTTGTTAAAAGTTGTGCTTGTACGACTAATTTGTTATATTTGACCTTTTAAGAATGTGACATTTTATTTACAATTGTCTTTTAAAATTTGTTTTAGTCTATGTTAGTGATTTCCAAATATCAATATAAACATGAAATCAGTGCCAAACAAATAGAAAATGATAAACACTATGTTGACTTAGCTTGCAAAAGTTTTGAGTTTCGGTGGAATTCCGCCAAGGTTTGACAATTCTGAACTTATTTATTTTATTTTATTTTTTATTTTATTATTTTTTTTTTTTCTTTTTAATTGTTATCTTATTTTGCCACAATAAAAAGGCAGGAGTTGTAGTTTGCCACTATCAAATAGCTACTTGGACAGTTGGACGAAATGCAAATTTAACGCCGTAAAAAAGGGAACATTGGCGGTCAACATAAACGAGGTCGGTTTCATTAGCAAAATCCAATGCAATCCTGCCAACTCATCATTGATTGGAAACAATTGTATGGTTTTTCAAATTATTATCCTCTTTGGCAAAATAAAAAATAGTGTCATGTTTGGCAAGGGCTACAAGTTATTAGACATAAAGTACAAATACAAATTCTCTGAAATTGGTGACTTAAAGTTTATAAATAAAAATATATTTAAACATTTCTAAAAATGGAAACACTATGAGTGAAATGGATAAAAATATGTAAAAGAAAATTAAAACATTTAATATGAAGTTATCAACTCTGAAAAGCTGAAAAAGAGAAGTAAACCACAAAAAATTTACAAAATCTAAATAACTATAAAATTAGAACTTGAAATATATCCTATAACATTTAGAAAAATGCTATAGGTACATAATGTACATAGACGTGTACATAACACTCACATGGAGTGGGTCTTACCAAAAATAAAATGTGAGTGTGTTATCTATGTATATTTATTATGTACTTGTAGCATTGTTCTAACATTTATTATCCGAAAACCTAAACGCTGAAGTAAAATAAAAATAAATTAACTCAAAAGTTGATTTTTCTCTCCACTTGATGGAACACATTTAATTATACGGTTGCGCTTGCGCAAAGTTTTGTTGATAAGTGCAAATTCAAACATAATACTCATTCTCATATATTAAAAGAGTAATTGTATAAATTATGTACCGCGATATTCTAATCACCGTATTTGTAACGCCATATTTTAATTACTGCAGTATTCTCAATGGTGCGGTGGCAACCGCAGTTAGTATTCTCATTACTAAGGTTGTAACCACGGTATTTTCAAAGAGCAATACTCTTTAATTTTTCCAGATGTGATAATTATAATTTTAACAAATAAAATGGGCCAATTTGTGATAGAAACAAAAAATTGCATAGATGTACAGTATAGATAAAACAAAATAAGGAGACCTCGTTTGCATTCAATACCCATGGATGCAAAACTGTTGAACTTAGCCTATCATCGAGACGTGTTGGATGTGAAGTGCATGGATTTACTGTTACATTTTATGTTTTAAGTGTTTTAGGGTTAAGTGTGTTTAGCTTCAAGTATGCGTGTTTTTCTCTTCTTTATGATGTTTAGCATTTTACTGTGAAAGGACGTTTGTGTCCTCACCTTGTTGAACGCGAGCTAGGGGTTTTTAATCCCAGCCACTTTGTATCGTCTCTTTTTTGAGTAAAGAAATACATTTTGGAAATTCCCAAAAATAGCTCTCTGAAATTAGAAATGGCAGATCGCTAAGCTCTACATGGTATCTAGAGCAGGTCGAAATTCTCTTCAATGGCGGACACCGGTAACAGAATCATGCAAGGGCGAGAGTCAGTCACCAGAAACTTTTCTCGCGAGAATGATCCACTATCGCTACATGGATCGGATCATCCCGGATTGGTTTTAGTCACGATTCAGCTCACAGGTACGAACTATCTCCATTGGAGTCGTGCGATCAAGCTCACATTAGGAGCGAAGTCGAAGCTTGGGTTCATACTTGGCACAGTCACTATACCAGAACAAAATACCGATGATTACGATCAATATCAGAAGGTTGAATACATGGTCATTTCGTGGCTGTTGAACACAATATCAAAGGATATAGTCGAGGCTTTCACTTTTGTCAAAAGCTCAAAGGAACTCTGGGACGAGATAGCAGAAAGGTATGGAGAGAGCAACGGACCTTTGAAATATCAATTGCGCAAAGAGATCGCTAACTTTTCACAATGTACACTCTCAGTTACTTCTTACTATACTAAGCTCAAATGCCTTTGGGATGAATATGCTTGCATAGTGTCTCTGCCCGAATGTGTTTGTGGATCTGGAAAAGCATTGAGTGAAAATGATATGGAGATTAAGATGATGCAATTTCTAATGGGGCTAAATGAGGTTTATGAGCCTATGAAGAATCAGATATTATTGCTAGATCCCTTACCAACAGTTAACAAGGCTTATTCGATGATACTGAAAGTAGAGAAGTAGAAGGTGAATCATATAACTTTAGATCCATTAGAATCTTCTGCTATGATGGTGAAAGGTATTGGTGTTGGGTTCGCTAGTACCATACGGGCTGTACGCAGCGGAATTTAAAATTTTTAAATTAAGTATTTATCGTATAAATACTATACCCGTACATACTAATAGCGATTTAACAGATCTTCATCTTTAAAACATGCATCATATACAAATTTTGATTTGTTACTATAAGGTAAATACTAGTAAAAATATTTACCGAATTTCTTGAACTCCTTCACAATTGATGATGGATGAGGGAATCGGTTCCCGGTTGTAACTTCAACGACTTGATGTTACTCGCTAGAGGAATCCAAGTGTCTTCCCTCTAAACGTATCCACCCTATGAAGCCCGGTTCCGACGACTTTCCTTCGCTAGTAGAAAAGACTCGGTTTTCTTGTATAGGAATTTATATGGATTTATTTTGGGAAATTCTCAAGAACAATTTCTTGTTTTGTGAAGAACTTTTCTTCTCTTTCTAACACTTTAGAAACTTAGCCAAAATCAATTAGCAAATGCAAAACCATTTTGCATCTATTTATACTAAACATTTTAGCATAAAATAATCAACATTTAGTAATATTTAAATAAAATCAAATTTTATTTAAATAGTATTTACTAACTTTTGACTTTGAAAATAATAAGATATGTTAAGTGGTTCAAACAACCATCAACAACCATTTTATTATAATCATATTTATTATCTTATTCTTTAAATCATATTTAAAGATAACATAATAATAAATCTTAAGAATCTTTCTTAAGACTTTATTATTATATTCATTTCCCAATTTCATCCATATTATAATAATCATATTATTATTATTTTGGATTTGAATTTTAAAATCCTATTTTAAAATTCAACTTTATTAATTTAGTAATTACCTTAATTACTAAAGTAATATCCAAAATGTAATTAATCAATCTTATTGATTAATATATTCCTTTAATTGACATCTAATCAAATTAGATATTGTCAATTAATTCTAACTCTTTAGAAATACATTTTTCACCTTTGTTCATAATAGGTGTGACCTTTTAGGTTCACCTTAATACTAGTAGTGGGTTTACAACACTTTGTAATTTGAGTTAATCATATTAACTCTTATTCTTGAATTAACCCTTTAATTCTAGAACCCACATATCATAGTAACATCTAGCAAGCAGTATGAATCTAGTATTAAGTGAATAGCGAGTAAACCTATTTCAATTACAAGTCCATACATGTAAAATCCTTTCGACATCTAATTTCCCGATTAAGTCTTGGGTATGATTTTGTCGAAACCCAAATTGACTTAATAACTATGATTCTATTTCATGTTTATTAACCCGGTTATGAATCACTATTCATCTCTGCCTTGGCCAAGGACTTTGGATTAATAACTATGAAACACATAGGAAATTCACTTATCTTCATAAGTGTCGAATCCTTTATTGGCCACTAACAAACTTCCATACATATTAACATAATACCCAAAATATCCCTTTATACGATAGTGCTAGCTACCAAAAGGATAAATCAAAGTAGAATGTAATATGCACAAAGTTACCATTGTGCCTCAAGTCTTAGGATTAGTCATGTACTATTGTAACATGAAAATTCTTATTCGACTGAATAAATTCTTCATTAAGAATTTTCATACGGTCATGTTCAGTGAACTTGTTCTCTAACAAGCACCCACATAAATGTACTTACGTCTTACGCTAATGTTGATGGAATGCAACATTCTTGTCCAACAAGCATACAAACTATGTGCAAGTCTTTTATGGATTATTCGATATCCCATCTCGAAACATCCATCGACTTGGAACTGTATTTAAGATCACGGCTTTCAAGGTATGTTCCATGATCACCATCTCTATGCGCAACCATACCTTATAACCATAAGTGATCTAGGGATTTTATCTTAAGTGCAATTATAAGATAAATGCTTTCTCTTAAGATAAAGAAATGCCTTATTAATAATATAATTCCAATAGATTTGTATTTACAAGTAGAATACGTCCAACTAGATTGGAACGCCGGGTATCCTACTCTAACAATTGGCAGAGGTGGAAATAGACCAAATCTCTATGGAAGGGGAACAAGAAAGGAATCATTTGGTCAAGGCTTTGGAGGTTTTGGAAGAGGCAGAGGAGCCTATAGGCTATCTAAGGAAGACAAGTCTAAATTGTTCTGTACTCACTGCGGCTATAATGGCCATGACTTGCAAAGCTGCTTCAAAATACATGGCTATCCAGACTGGTACAAAGATTTGAAACAACAAAAGCTTAGCTCTGCAGCTAACATGGTGGAAGGATCTGAAACTGACAAGAGTGATGTGGAGTGCAAGTCTCAAGAAGGAGATACAACTCAACAAAACATGAACTCCTTGTAAGAGAAATTGCAAAGTACTTTTCAAAGCAGCAGGAAACAGAAACTCACTCCTTTTCTCATTATGTGGATTATTCAGGTATTCACAAACAAGACATTACCTTATCTCTATTAAGTGAACTGAATAAGGAGAGCTGGATTATAGACACAGGTGCTTCAAGGCACATTTGTTCTTGTGCTGACATGATGAAAAGATTATGTTCTCTTGTAAATC